GTCATGGATGTGGGAAAGCCTTCATTTATCAGTTATTCCTCATGCGACATGAAAATTCACACAGGAGAGAAACCCTATAAATGTAAGATATGTGGGAAAGCCTTCAGATATTCTTTACACCTTAATAAACATCTAGGAAGGCACATTGTGGAGAAGCCCTATGAATGTAAGGAATATGGGAAAGCCTTCAGTAAGTCCTCAAAACTTACTGTACACATAAGGACTCACACTGGAGAGAAACCCTGTAAGTGTGAGAAATGTGGGAAAACATTCATAGAATCTTCAGGACTTAAAAGCCATCTCAGAACTCACAGAAAGAAATCCTGTGAATGAAAGGAATTTGGGAAAAGCTTAGTTTTCTCACCACATTGAACATATACTGGAAGGGAGTGCAATGAGCTAATGTACATCTTGCCTGAACTTTCATATCTTACAGAAATGTGAGAATTGACACTGAAAAGAAACCCTGTGAATGTGAGGTCTATGGAAAGCCTTTCATCTTCATTCATCTTGAGTAGACATTTTGTCCTCATGCTAGAGAGAAACTATGACCTAGGGAACATGGAAATGCCTTCAATGTTCTCTCAAACTAGTCCATATACGAACTCACACTGCCAAGGCTCTTTATGAGAGTAAGGAATAGAGGGAAAACCTCTCTAAAAACATATCCCATATGTTACATGTGAAACCACACCCTAGAGAAAGACTATGAGTGAAATAGATATGAGAAAGCCTTCAGTTCCAGCTCTTCACTTATCAGGCATAAATGAGTACATATTAGGACTTTAAAAACACTATAAATATTAATCATTGTTGCCATGGTCATTGTCTCATCCAGTTGGAACAGGTGCTATAAAATGATGAATATTCCCTCTTTGCACCCTTTCAGTTCTGCCACTTAAATTTTCATTTGTAGTAGCTTCACTACAATTAACTTAAGTACATAGGATCTCATTTCCAGTGTGAAGCCCTCTTTGAGCTGCCTTAATTTAGACTTGGGATTAGGACTTTCTGTGATGTTATCTTTATTAACATGTTCTTACTGGTCACTATTTGGCTACAGTATAGTCAGAGTGTATAGTCTTTATGATACTGATTTGAGGCACTTGTTATAACATTCCATCTAATGTGGCCAATTCTGTAAGTTTCCCTACCATTTCCATTCTTCTTATTTTCTTTACAAGGGTACATGGATTCATGTTTCCACATTAAGCACTGTTTAATGTCTTTAAGTGAATTTCCCAGTTTTTCCTCATAACAGATGGTATGTAGAGCTTACAGACCCAGCCAATGAGGAGTGTAAAATTGATTAATTTGGATTTCTGGAAATCTGTTTGGAAAGGAGAGAGTTATTGTTGCTCTTTTTTTTCCTCTTAACCAAGTTATTTTTGCTCTCTGGAAATTGCATGAAATGCCTGACGGGATGAGCAACTTGAAGACCATTAGAATGATGGTCCCAATAACATAACCCTCAAATTAGAATATTCCTCACTACCCATGTTTTTTGGTGTCCATGACTGCTGTAGACAGTATTTCTGGACTTGTTTGTTACATGAAACAAATCCCTTATTAGATTAAGCAACATTTTAGGAGAGATTTTTATAACAGTTAAATAAAATACTAAATGATAAACCTAATGTGTGGCTAGATAATTTACAATAGCTTCTTGTATGCTTTAGAACGGCCTTCGTTTTCTTTAGTTTTGAGTGGTCTCAGGTTCACTACATGTCCAAATAGTCAAGATTTTTTTTGCTTTTGCTTTTATTATTTTTAATTGACCTATAATATACATATCTGGGGCACAGTATGATATTTTGATACATGCATATACAATGTGCAATGACCAGTTCAGAGTAATTAGCATTTCATCACCTCAAGCATTTATCATTTGTTTGCACTGGGAACATTTCAAAATGCACTCCTCTAGCTCTCTAAAAATACACAGTAAATTGTTAGCTGCAGTCACCCTGCAGTGCTATAGAACACTAGAACTTATTCTATAATATCTAGCTGTACTTTTATGTATGTTAACCAACTTTTGTCAATGCCCTCTCCCCCTACCCTCCCCAGCCTTTGGTAACTACTGTGTACTCTCTACTTGCATGAGGTTAACTTTGTTAGCTTCCATATATGAATGAGAACATGCAATATTTATTTTTCTATACCTGGCTTTATTGGCTTTATTTCATTTCACATAATGTCCTCCCAAGCCCATCCATGGTAACATTTTTTTTAAGCTTTTTCCTTTTCCTTTTTTTTTTTTTTTTT